CATCATTTCATACATTTTTCTGTCGTTCAATAGCAATATGATCATCATAAGTTTGAATAGTCACGAATGGATTAGCCATCAAAGCAGTTATAAGTGTCGGCTGTATTGTTTTTGTAACATAGCGTTGTCTTTTGGTTAGTCATCGTTTGGACTGCTACAGTAAAGTTTGTAATTGTGTTTGTCGTCGGATATATTTCAACCTGACCATGTAAACATAATGCCATACGCACCAGACGAAGGAGTTGTTTTCTATACAGGCTAGCTGAGAGAAGATACAAAAAGAAGGTCATTGCATAGGAAAGATGCAAGGGGAATTGAGATGTCATGCGGGCAAAGAAAAAGGTGGGTGTGGATGAAATTTTAGTTGGAAGAACTAAAATAAGGTAGGTTATACATGTAGGCAGAGTAAGTATAATATGAGTGCCGACTTGAACGAAAAGCATACGAACAAGTTGATTTTCAGTGCGCCGATTAGGTGAGCATCTAGTAGGAATAATATGCACTCGTTTTGTATTGACAATAGTCATGAAACCGAAGAGTGCCATGAGAACTGGTGCCAAAAAACCGAATAAAAACACTTGTATAATTGGGTACAATTGTTTGTAGACGGTGTCGGCTCGAATGCGACAACCGAATGTGTCAGTTTGGCGTAAATCGATGAGTATCGCTGTGTTACTGTAGATGAGTGCAAGTAAAATAACGGTGAGTAAGATCACCCATCGAGCTACTTTGACATGACTGAATTTACGTAGTTTGGCATTTGCCGAACTGGCGCAGTAGCGATCGATCGAGGCCAGTACAATGAAGTATGGTCCCAATATTGCACATAAATGATTGAAATAGGTGAAGAGTTTGCAAGAAAGAAGAGAGGACCTGGTTGGATCGATCTGGAACCCATCGGCTAATAGACGATAGATGAGAACTACACTCGAATAAAGAAAATTATTCACAGCAAGAGCCAAAAAATAACGAGAACACGCATGTTGATACAAGATAGGCCGAGTAAGAACAACAATGTTGCACGAATTGCCTAACATGCCCAGAAAGATGATTATGGGCACAATTGATCGCGTGAGTTGAATAGCCAATTGTGAGAGTGAATCAACCATCGTAGCACTTATTAATTTTTCTAAAACGAAGCTAAATATTTTAACTTTCATCAATGTAAATTATCATTAGACGCGATTTCAAAGGAAACAATTATTAATCTCTTCAAAATATCACAGTCAATGTTCTTGCTGAAGACAAAAATCAACAAGAAATCATCAACACCATCGAATGGCTTCTTGAAAGAGAAAAAAAAACTTAATGAAACACTATGATCATATTGGCAATGATTTCAGTATGATAACGTGTGAGGCAACGTTTTCTGTTGGAAAATGGTGCGATTTATATTTTTGAGGACGTATTTAACTACTGAGAAATTGTCTCTCTTCTTTGCATTCTACTCAATATGTAGGATGTGATTTTTATTGCTGTCGACTTTTAAGACGTGTTATTATGTTCATCTTTTTCGTTCATTAATAATATTAAGTCCTGAAGATGAATCAAACTGTAATTCCTCTCAACAGAATACGTCATTCTTTCATCCTGCTCTTATAATGCGCATTACCTGCAGATCTTTCCTCATCATATAATAGGAAAATAATCTATGTCAAGGACGGCATTGATACTTTCTATAATAAGATCTTACTGACAAGTGCACCTAAAGCCTTGTTTTAACTGTCGTACTTGTTGTTCCCTGTTGTTATTTCGCCTCTTCTATACACTCTCGTTGTACTTGCTCTTTTTTTTTCTCTATAATATTTTACTTTTTATAAAAATTGTGCGACATCGTACGATTGAATTAAATAGACGAATATATATATTGTTTTCTCTTGTTTTTCTCCATTGAATAAATGAGAAGATTTCTGATTTTTTCGTGTTGTCCACTATTTTGCTTTATGTTAGATTAAATGCTACTTTTTTTCGAAATAAAAATACTCGAACTCTCTGAAACTGTCCATCGTCTAGCATAAAGATCCTGAAACTTTAGAGGGATCACAAGAAATTGCTGATTACCCTAAACCAATGATCTTGTAAAAGGGTATGGATGAAGACAAAATTAGTCACCGACATTCACATGCATATCCACCCGTCCATTTTTTGTTGTCATTTTTGAAACTACAATATGATGATGACCATCAATAATTTGATTATGTTGATAAATGAAAATAGAATTAGCTATTAGCGACAATCACTCAAAGACGTGATTAGCTTTGATAAGATTACTCTAACTGCGAGCAAACGCTTCAAAATTGATAAGCGCACATAATACTATAATGTTGATTACAATTTTAATCAACTGAACCTAAATATGGGTGTGGATATTGAGTGTAGATGTCATGTAGGTGTCGGTCTTCTCTTAACTCAAACGCACACCCACACTCACAGCCTCAGTTAAATGAAAAATAATTTACAGTAAAAAATTGATTCATCGTATCACACATATCGTAATGAAGTTATTATTACTTAGCTATTTTCATTGTCAACGTCACTTTTTCTTCTTCTTTGTTTTTGTTAAAATATGTATATCAGAAAACAAACAGCCTTATCACAAAATCTCTATTAACACAACACTTTCATCTATAAGTATAAAACAGAAACAAAAGCAAGTATTTTTCCAGGCATTTGAGTTCATTTTTCATTTGAAAAGGTAACTTATTGTAAATATTCCAAGTGTCTGTTTGATCTTTAGTTATTAGTGTTATTATTTTCATACGGATATATTTCTTTTCACCATGTAGTTTTTCGTTGAAAAATACTTGCTTGACTTTTTAGAGTCGAGAATAGGTTAAATCATATACAGTAAAATCTTCCATAATTGATACTTTTGTACGGTTCTACAAAATGGTTTTTTGCATGAGTTGAATCTCTCCATTATAGACACCCGATTATCCGTTTGAAAAGAATGGTTGAACTTAATGGTTAGTAGTTAGTGAATACCAATATTGTTAACATCGATTTTTTCCATTCATATTTTCGACAAGTGCAATACTAATGAGGATCTGGAGTAACTAAAAGTAGTTGAGATGAATGGAGAAGAAGCAGAAAGATATGTCTCTGGTAGAAAATATCCAAATTCTATCTGAAGTATTCGAAATAACGAGAAAACTTCATGGTTTCTTATTCACTCTATAGGTTCAATAGCACGCTCATCATCTACCATCTCAAATTGCCAGTAAATGACATTTATCTGAATTTGAAAGTGATAAAACAGAGATCTGTCAAAGATTAACTTAAACAATACCTATTTTTGTTTCTATTTTTAAAGATAAAAATAAATCGAAAGAGAAGTAACAACAAAGGGTGTTCTAATTATAATAACTGACGATGAATTTTTAAAAACATATTTTTCATACTTTTTCTTGATATAGAGGGCTGAAATTTTTATCGCATATAGATCTAATGAAGATCTTTTATTTTTGAAAGTTTCAGCTCTCTAGCTAAAACTAGTAGTGAAACGCATCGAAAAGACTGAAATACATAAACTTTCGAAAATGAGTTTTTAATATTTTTTACTATGAAAATGGTGCAAGGTAGTTCCATGAGTAGTTAACCAAAAAATTGCAAGAAATTCAGAAAATTTTCTTTCACGTCAAATTTTGTAGAGCTTTTTCGTTGATCATTTTTTTAACAAAAAAATCGAATTTCATTGAGAAATGACGATGTTATAGTTAAAATACAAAACACTGTAAAACATAAGTAAAAGTCAATTCACATATCTCAAAATGACTATATTGTGGAGAAATGTGACATAGTAGATTTTGTAGAGGAAACTTTGCTCTACAAAATTCTATAGTCGGTTTCTTAGAGACAGGTAAATAGGATGAATAAATCTCAATTAAACATTGTATACGATATTTCTATAAAAAAATCTGACATATTCTGTTTTTACGATAAATTCGGAAATTTTTTTTTTTTTTACCAAAATGATGATCAGCGAAAAAAGTTCTACAAAGATGAATATGAAAGAAAATTTTCTGAATGCTCTGTGATTTTTTCGTTAACTACCCACGAAACTACCTTGCAGTATTCAGTACGAAAAATTATGTATTTCACCACTAATTTTAGCTAGAAAACTGAAACTTTCAGAAATAGAACATGATGAGTAGATGTATATGTGATAAAAATTTCACCTCTATATGTAAACAAAAAGTGTAAAAAAACATAAAAAACAATTTATCGTCAGTTATTATGAAATACTTTCATGTGTCTTCACTAATCGGTAGCTAGGTTAAACTGTCTTACTTTAGCGGACGAATCGTCTTGGTTGTTTTTTACGGTGTTTGTTATGAATGAAAAACAAAATTTAAGGCAAAAAGAAAAAGCAAAGACATTCATCATCGTCTAGTATGTCGATATGAATGTTATTCTTATCGACAGCAATCAGAACATCAAAATATTATATATATAAAGAGAGTGACAAACAGAAAAATAATACGATTGAAGTGAATAGATTTATTATTAAAGATGAACATTGTAACTAACAACCATATTAATATACTCGATTTGCCAGATGAGAATTGTTTAGCACTCGATTCTTTCTACATTCATCATCTCGATTTTGTGATCAAGTCATTGTTTGATCGTAACTCGTCGGTAGATAATCAGCTTCTTGATAGAATTTACACCAATATGTTACCTTGAATTTATCATAAAGTCGATAAACTTACTGTGGAACCACTTTCTATAGAATGTGTTCTTAATACTGTTCATTATCCTCAACTTCATTCCATATCATTTGTCAATTTTTATTATGAAACACTTTTACAACATTTACAATGTATAATTATTATTTTATCTAATATGAATGACTGATGTTTTTTTTTTACATTTAAGGTGATACTAGAGTTCGTCTTCTTACTGATCAAATAACATATCTTCATATTTATATTAGTGAAAATACAATAGCATTTGTTGAGAGAAATGAATTAAGCATGTTAGTATTGATACTATCTATGGGTAAACATCTAAGTGATTTTACCTTTATGCAATGGTTATTAGAATCAACTATAAAGATTTCGCCTTTTAATTTACTATCAACAAATTTGAAATCTTCATCTTTAAGTAAATTAACAAATGATATAGATGATTTTGATGAATGTCTTTATCTTCTTGATAGACGTCTTGAATGTTTATGTACATTAATTGTATACATATCTGAAATTACCAATTCTTCATTAAATATAAATAATACAGTAAGTATAAATGCAATCTTTCTATATTAATAAATCTCTTTTTTGAAATTTCATGATGGTTTTGTTATTTTTAGAAAAAACTTCCAAAATTGAAATGTTTCTCACTGAGATTGGATTGGTATACATTTTTTTATGACAATTAAATTGTTCANATAAAGTGACAAAATGTTTTTGTTATAAAAATGTTCTTTAAAAAAGTTCAAAGCAGTCTATTATGATGAGAAAACCCATGGATATGTCACAGCATATCTAATAGAAAATGCTACATTTCTCCCGTCCGCATCTCGAAGTTGCTTCAAAAATGGAAGTACTATAGTCTTATATCTTTTCTCTTTTGATTCAAGTGGGTGTGAGTGTGGGTGTGGGTGTGGATGTGGGTGCGTGGGTGTGGATGTGGGTACGAGTGTGTAATCACACCAGTCCCACTTTACTCACCAGCTACACCCACACCCACACCCACACCCTTTCAAATAGTCAATTATTGTTGTTGATTTGATGGAACTGAACGAACTTGTTGCTGTTAGTGTTGTTAATTATGTTGTTGATGTTGAGATCATTTTGAACGTCCATTACCATTATAACCAGCAGCACCGCCTCGATGTCCATCACAGTAATTACCAGCATGATTATCTAAAACAATAATGTATACATGTAATTACAAATAATTGAATTATTATATCTTACTTCGATAGTGAGGATTAGATCCACCTCCACTACGATTATTCTTTTAATTACATTGCCGTTGTCCACCACCATAGGTATCGTCATGATGACCACTACCACTACCACCACCACCACCACTTGAATCAAAAGAGAAAAGATATAAGACTATAGTATTTCCATTTTTGAAGCAACTTCGAGATGCGGACGGGAGAAATGTAGCATTTTCTATTAGATATGCTGTGACATATCCATGGGTTTTCTCATCATAATAGACTGCTTTGAACTTTTTTAAAGAACATTTTTATAACAAAAACATTTTGTCACTTTATTAGGATCAATAGAAAGAGCGTGGGTGTGGGTGTGTAGGAGTCTCATTGTCGGTCAAGAGAAGAAGAACACCCACAACCACACCCACTCGCTTTTCGTAGAATCGGTTGAAGGTCTAATCCATTCGAGATCTTCCAACCGACGAAAAAACTTACTGACATTGCAAAAATCATAAGAATTTTATTTATCATTACCACATTCACACTTGCAATTTTACTACTAACACAACGCATGCAGTCATTGTAGAACGTAATCGTGTTCGTATAACAAGTTCTATATTGAAGTTAAAATTAGAATTCGTTCGTTTCTGCGCAAAAGAACAATAATAAAGAGATGATTATTGAGACCATGTTGTAAATTTCGATCGAATAGAAGCCAATAGAAAAAATCTGTAAAAAGCAAGTAAACAATAAAATGAGCAATATAAGGTAGGCCACAAAACCGAAGTTAATTAGGAACTATTATTTCAGAAAACACAGTTGCTAAAGCGGCAGAGTAATTCAGATTTTAACACATGCCTAGAGGCTTTTTAACATATAAAAGCCCATTCTATTAAACTTCGGAATTTATTTGTCGTCGATCTGTACAATTAGATCTTTGAATAATAAGTGTAGCAACAATTATTACTTCGATGCTATAGCTGATTAGGTTATTAATTCTATTTTTCCGATATGTTTGTTGGTTCAAGATATATTTTGTGTGATTGCTAGCATCCTTTCGGCTTCTTCGATGTGTACCGAACGAAAAAACTTCACTTTTAATGTCTTACCTTTCTGTATTTTTGGTGTCTCGAAGAGTCTGCTTATCACAACCTTCTTTCTTTTGCCATGGTATCGCACAAGTCATATTTATTTCTTTACTTATTCTTCTTTATTTTCATCGAACAAAACAGGCTGACTGAGATTCGTAATAAATAAATTTTGTTGAGGTAAGTCAGTCTTTTCTTTGTTACAAAGATCATACAAAATCGAATCATGTCATTTCCAGTTAGAAATAAGTGCACCAATGGCAATACATATCATATTTATCTGGTATGATACCCGTAATATTGAAGAAAACATCTGTAGTCAATGTCATGATATTTCATTTAATTTTTATTATGATCAGCAGAGCTGTATGGATTTTATTAATTCGACACCAACAAGTGAAATAATTTTTTTAATATCATCTTCATTATGCGCTCTGGAAATTTTACCAATGATAAAAGATTTGAGACAATTGGATTCAGCATTTATTTATTCAATTGAACACGAACCTAAAATTCATGAGAAAGTGTTTGATAAATATTCAAAAATCATCGGAATATTCTATCAATTAGAAGATTTATTTCAATCTATTCGAGATAATATTGATTTAGTTATTAAACAAATTGAAACATTTAAATTCTATGAAAAACATCAAAAATCGACTCGTGAATTATCGAAAGAATTCGGTTCGTTTCTTTGGTTACGTTTATTCAAAGATATCGTCCTTCAATTACCACACGATGAACAAGCAAAACAAGAAATGATTGACAAATTGAAAGAATATTATTGTAATAATAATAAACAGTTAAAATTAATTGAAAATTTTAATCAAGAATATAAATCCGAAGATGCTCTTTGTTGGTATACTGGACACCCATTTTTATACAAGATATTGAATAGAGCTTTGCGTACTGAAGATACGGAATTATTATATAAGTTTCGTTATTTTATATCGGATCTTTCAAAAAATCTTTTCCGTGAATATGAAGTATTGAAAGATTCATTGGATACAACACTCACATTCTATCGTGGTGTTAAAGTATCGAAAGAAGAAGCTTACAAATTAGAGTGCAATGTTGGACAACTTATTTCGACCAATAGATATTTATCAACGAGTTTTTCGAAAAATGTTGCTGTAGCATTTGTTAGTGAATCAACGGACGAATATGAAAGAATTCTATTCGAAATTGAATGTGATCTAAGAAAAATCGTTTCAATTATCTTGGCTTCGATAGCTCACTACAGTAAACATCGATTTGAAGACGAAGTTTTATTTGATTTGGATGCAGCATTTGAAATATTATCAGTTTCAAAAGATGTATCATTGAATGCTTTGGTTGTGAAAATGAAAGCAACCGATGAAGGATCGACACTTGCTTGACAGTACGTAAAACAGCATAGAAGATACATAGATACAACAAGTGTAAGGCTTGTATACGGGCGTCTTCTAGCTGAAATTGGATAATAAGACAAATGTCAACAGTATTTTGAGCGTCTATTAGAAAATCCAAATGGTGAAGATTTATCTTTTATTTATTACTACCTAGGTATGAGTAAAACTAATAAAGGAAATTATGAAAAAGCTCTTCAACATTACGAACATTCATATGACATGTTAATAAATGCTGAAATTCCACGCGTTGAAGTATCCGCTTTTGTACTGAATGATATTGGCACTATTTTTACCATAAGAGGACAATATGATCAAGCTTTGGAGTATTATATGCATTCTATGAAAATTAGTGAAGATCATTCGAATTATTCCAGCATAGCTGGTTGTCTCGGAAATATTGGCATAGTTTATCGTATAAAAGGTGAATATGATTGTGCATTAGACTATCAAATGAAATGTCTTAAGATGAAAGAACAATATATTCCTAGTGAACATAAAGAACTAGCCAGAATATTGAATCATATTGCTGCAGTATATAATGATATCGGTGATTTGACTAATGCAATGAAATATCATCAAGAAAGTTTAAAAATGAATGAAAAATGTCTTCCAATCGGGCATTACAACATTGGATCCAGTTTAAATCATATTGCTCATGCATTCACTAACCAACGAAAATATGATGATGCCTTAAATTATTATATGGCTTCGTTAAAAATTAAAGAAACTATCTTTCCAAATGGACACATTAGTATTGTTAAAACTTTAAGTAAAATTGGATATACTTATTATTTGAAAAAAAGATTATAATCTTGCATTTAATTATCCCCAGAAGTGTATGACAATGAGAGAGAATTTGTTTTCTGATATTCATGATATTAATCTAGTTAGTGCTCTTGAATACTTTAGTTTAGTTTTAATTAAACAACAAAAATATGATGATGCTTTGACATATTTAATGCATCCTCTCCATCTTGCTCAAACTCTGCTACCTTTCGAACATGAAGATATAACTGATTGTTTCACTAATATTGGTATTGTTTATCGTGAAATGGGTGATTATATCAAAGCATTTGAATATTTTGAAAAAGCGTCAAACAATGACGATATCAATCCTACAAAACCGAGTCCTATTCGACTAGCTCGTAATTACGAGAACATGGGTATTTGTTTATATGATCATGGTGACGATGAAAACGGATTGAAATATCGCATGAAAGCTGCCAGATTAATTAATCAAACCACCCCTCGTAGTCAACATGCTGATTGGATAGATACGATTGGAAATGTATTTAGTGACAAAAAATTATTCGACAATGCTTTAGAATGCTATTTAATAAGTTTAAATATGAAATTGGAATGTTTGCTAGAAGATCATGTTGATATAGCAGAAAGTTTCATGTATCTGGGTGATGTTTATAACGAAAAAGTGAATGTCGAAAAAGAGGAATACAAATTTAAAGCCCAATCATACTATGAACGAGCATTGCTAATTTATCAAAAATGGAATCATTCGAATACTGTTTATATCTTCAATTGTATTGGTGGCATTTATGAAAATATCCATGAATATCGAATTGCCGTTGAATATTATGGAAAATCATTAGAGATGGCCGAGAAATATTATCCCTCAAATGAGTCGGTTCAACAAATATATAAAAATAATATTCCTCGTGTTGAATTGGTTTTGAATCAATTGATTGAAAAAGATGAATAGAAGACTTTTCCTTAGTAATAAAATATTGTACCAAATCATGAATTCTAAAAAAAATATCCTAGAGCTTCACTACTAACAAAAAGTCTGATTATCAGATGGAAAAAAAAGATTTTAGCACGGTCTCTTCGAGATGAAAATATGAAACACGATGAAGATACTTTTGTTCTATATGTTCTTGTAATATATATCGATTCTTAAGCATGTGTTTTGCTATTGTATGTCTCGATTAAAACAAGACGTGATTTTTGTTCCATTTTAAAAGTATTTCACCACGGTAATTCATTAGATTTTCACCTGCAGAGAACGATGCTTAACAAAGTCTCGACGATTTAATCAGAAGAAGAGAAATCGTTTCTTAAATAGTTCTTTAATTCATTGGAAAATAAACTATTCTTTCATGCATACTGTATTAACAATAAGCTAAAACATCGAAAATGTGATATTAAGATTTGTGTTCTTGTTCATTTTTTTTGTTTTTATAAACATCATAAAATACATATAGTCAATTGTTGAAGGTAAGAAAATCATTCCAACGAAATCTGCCAAACTAGTACATCACTATCATATATAGACTTGATTGACGATAAACTGGAAAAAATGGATTATATGCATATAAACGAATGAATTATGGAGGGTGTGGGTGTGGGTGTGGGTGTGGGTGTGAGTGCCAATGGACAGAAGACCAACACCCATACCCACAACATCGGTAACGTTTACGCTATATGCATCAGTATATACATTTACTCAATATCTTTATTTATTTATCTTCATCTCAATAGAAATTTTCTCATTTTTCTTTTTCTTTTAATAAATCTAGAATAAAGCAGTCACTCAGTTGAAAAAATACTGCGTATCAATGTCAATCGATGACAATCTTCGTTTCATACATGTCATTGCGAATATGCAATAAACGTGTATTTACCTTGTGCGATTCTCACTGGGATGGTATCTCTTACACGATTGTCAATCAAACCACTCACTCCATGAACATCTGTGATCAATCGTAATTCATCATTTTGATATTCTCTCATCCAAATGATTTCATTATCACACATGATTTTCAGACATTGGCCATTCTCAATCAATGAGTCAAAAAAGACATTTGCATACATATTGTTCGGCATGACAACTGAGAATACCACACCGTCAATTGAGTTTCGTGCTCATTGCACTCGAACTGTTCTTTTCATAGTCACCACTTTGGCCTCAGTATAGTTCAATAGATAAGCAGCATAGGATATTCTAGGATGAACAGTGATTGTGTTCAATGCATTCAGCTCGATTCCTGCCAAATATCGATAGGACTATGCACCAATACTGCTAAACATATGATGATTTAATGATGACCTGGCTTCTGTCGTCAAGCTATTCCATTATTCCCGTATTGTTGTAGCATTTTGAATACGATTGCTAAATATGTAACCATAGGATGAATGGGATGTTAATAGAACAAGTTTTAAAGCAAGATCATAGCGTCCTTCCTTGCAAAGAAGAGCAAATGTGGCTGACGCACTGATAATGCCCTCCGAATGTGCGTGTGAGTGCGTATGTGTGGGTGTGAGTGGGAGTGGGATGCTTGTCTTCTTCCAGTGACACTTCTACCCACGCCCACACTCACACCCACACCCACACCCCACACCTACACCCACCCTCTATCGTGTAATCCAGCACTGAACCATTATTGTGAAATTTTGGTTTTATTGGAGAATACTACCATCTTTGCATGTAAAGCAAATCCAGTTGTTTTAATAAGAAAGTCATTTTTTTTTCATTTCTTTTTAGCAAGAAATTAATGTAAGTAATAGCAACAATATTTTAACGATGCCATCGCTACCACCACTCTATGATAGCAAGTCGCATTCTTTATTCTTTCTTTAAATTTATGCACACAAAAATAAGCCAAATATTCCATTCTTTACCAATATAATAAGTTAATTCATTGCTGTTACAATCATATTATGGACGATAACAGTTTTGCTCAATACATCAAAATTTATTTTTGAAAATACATCAGTGTTTATTTGAATAGATGACAATTGAAATATTAACTTCTCCTCAAGACTGTTGAACGAATATTTTTTGTTCAATCGATCATAATTCATGTCATTAAAAATAAAACCAAAATTAAATTGAAACCAAGTTTAAGTTTCAATTAATAATTTAAATATATTTTGTAAATGTATATGTCGTCGCTCAGTAGAAAAGTGACTATTATTTGGATTTCTGTTTATAGCAAAACAAAAATTCTTTATGAAAGTTAAGTAACTTCTTTTTTGTTCATCAATTCATCATTAACGGGAAGTGATAAAGGCAAGGTTTATTTTCTTGAGCAACCAACAATGACGTTCATTTTCAATCAACAAAATGCATACACTGGAATATTCTTTGATAGAACGTTTAAATTCTGATGTGATAATGATAGACTGATGACACAATCCAATTTTACCATTTTCGATTATATTGAAAATTCAATTTAATTTTTGTCAAATATGGTTTCAGTTCTTTTCATAAGAATTAATCGAAAGAGCTATCCAAACACTAATTTAAAAGCTGAAAACATCTGTTACTTACTCATTTTTAAAATAAACTTCAAATTATTTTTCATCCATATTTTCTAGATAGAAAAATTGTTGATCTAAGGTCTAATTTTGAGAATTATCTTAACAAGAATTATTTTCAGACTCGTGGATTTCTTTTGTTTCAACTCACTACTATATTAATTGTAAAGTTCTTCTTTGCTTTTAGTATGATTACAAAAGAAATCATTGAGTGAGAAAAACAGCAATGAACATTCATAAATGAGAATGTCATGAAACAAATGATTCAAAATAGTCAGGCTCGAAGAAAATGCCACCTTCAAGTATTTATAGTTGAGAAACTCATTTTGAAAAATATCACTTTTTTCTGTAATGAATGTAAAAAAACTTAGGTTTTTTTCCGATTGGCGCACTAGAACATACGTGTAGATATGTTGCCTTTCTTGAGAGTGTATTCCAGAAGTAGTGTACTATTCTAAAGAGTAATGTCCGATTATGTATATCTGCATAAGTTCTATTGAGTTTGAAGAATATATTCATCAGGTCTCTATTTTTATTATACCAAAATATGATATAAATCACGCGGTATTTATTCTCAGATATTAGATATTTTTATTCTTTCTTCAACTGTTGTTTTTTTAGAATGAGGTTATTTTGGTGTAATTTGGTTGGAGATTATTTTAAAGCTCGATGGAAAAATACAAAAAAAATGTCAGAGTAGCATCAGTGATGGAAGGACTCTTCGAACCTAATGAGACTTAGTCAAATATATAAAATGGGGACATCGCTGTTTCAAATCATGACGTATAAATATTGATTTCTAGTACTGACGAAAAAAGCAATGCGAGCAAAGTAGAATTTGTAGAAGAAGATTTTCGATATAAAATGCGTGTAGGGACCCTAATCTTAAACTGTTGTTGGAAAACGTTTTATTTCAAAAATTAACTAATGTTACATAAGTCGATGCAGTTTTTTTCTACTGATTCTAAACGTGTTCTTTTTTTTTTCTCCTAAAAGTACTTCTGAAATAAAATAACATGAAAAAACTGTAAAAACCGACTGTATGATTGTTGATTCACTTGGTTTATGGAAGGAAAAGCGAGCTCGAAGAAAAATTGTGATATGTTCATCCTAGATTAAAACGCATCACATACATAGTTTTAGTTGAGACATCTGTTTTTATATTTTAAAGTTTATTGACAGGGTATGTGTTGAACGTTTTTTTTTATGCTAAATACTATTTAATCTGTTTTCATTATTGAGTCTGTTATTCAAGACAAAGAGAGCACATTGTTTCATATTATTTGTTTTTAGTGCGTTCAAAAGAAAGCTACGGTGTAGAATTCGTAATCATGTGTATAAATCCTACTTTGCAATTATGGTACAATCAGTTACGTGAGAAACTCGAAAAACTCAACCTTTTCGACACACAAACATCAGATCCAAACGTCATTCATCGTGAAATTCTTACTACTCGTCTCTTTTTAATTTTATTAGCCACCTCCGCGATTATTCTAACTCTATATACTTATATTAGTGTACAAATTAGCACTGGTGTTGTACCATCACCGACCCAAGTTGTCTATAGAAGCCTAGAAGAAAAGTATCCAGATACATTAAAATGTCCATGTGAAAAAATTTCAACACCATACAAAACATTTGTTCAAACAGTACCATTAATGCATCAAGTTTGTTCTAGTCCTTTTGTTTCTCAATGGTGGACTGAGTTTACTTTTGAAACTAATAATTCACGACTTTGGCCAATGGATGTAAAAACACAATTAAGCTCAATATGGCAACTTATTTCGGCTCTTTGTCAAAGTGCAACTAACACAATTACTCATGCACTCAATGAATTTGCCGAATTACCACTAATAAGTTTGACGTTACTGTCTGAACGTTTATTAAAAACAAAAACTCAAGCTGCTCTTGATTTAGTACAACAAAAAGCATCATCGGCACTTATTCGACCACTTACACTCATAAATCGAATTGCACAAACGAATCAATTCATAACAGCTTTGTCGACGAATTATATCACATTCTTATGGGATCAATTTGAGCTACGCAAACTAGCTGTTAGTTTCATAGGGATCAATTATATAATGAAAGGATCGACAAATAATTGTATGTGTCTATATAATGAATCATGTCCTACAGCAGGCAGTGTCTTTTTCTATGATCCATGGGAAACATATGGAGTCTTTGATTTGAATATAATTATTGCCAATGAAACCTTACCTGGTCTTGTGTTCGATTGTACACCATTACAAACAATACTTGGTTCGACGTTAGAGTGTTTCTATAATCAGTCATGTCTTGATATTCTTCTCATGACTTATCAAAATACTATAAATATCTCAATACTTGATAAAGCTCGGCCAAGTCGCTTTACACCAGCATTAACCATCGATATACTTATTAATGAACTTTTTATTGAACAAATTCTCAATGAAACTAATTACAATTCATATTATTCTCAATGTGCACCTGTCTATTGTAGTTATACTTATTCACATCGATTTGATTGGATTTATGTTGCAACAACTCTTATAGCCTTTTTTGGTGGACTCAATATAGCATTGCGTTTTATAACACCATATTTGATTGGCTTTATTTTATTTTTGAAGCAAAAAATGTACAAACAAAACAAGTCTAACAATAATAATGCGAGTAAGATCTTGTTTTTTTTGCTTTTTAAGTTGTACAAACATTTCGTTTGCATGATTTTCTTTTGAGAGGATTATCAATTCAAGTTCATCTAAAAATGTTGTATCAAAAAGTTCGGTTGTCAATCATAAATTTCAACTTATTTGACAATCACTCGCGCGACTCATTCGAAATAAAACGTGGTCTTATTGCAACACGTCTTTTTATTTTTCTCTTCATGATAACAATTAGTGTTCTTATAACTAATACATCGATATCAGTTCAAACTATTACTAATACTATACAAAATCCATCACAGATGCAATATCAAACATTCCTAGAACGATATTCAACTACATTGAAATGTCCATGCAATATTTTATCAATCCCTTATAAAGAATTCATACAGATTACTCCGATATATCATCAATTATGCGAAAGCAATTTTATTCAGTCATGGTGGTACAATAGTCTTTATGCTAAAGGACCTGATTATATTCCGGACAATTTCGTTTTCTTTGCTGCATCTTATTTTCGAACACTAGCCATGTTCTGTGAAATAGCAAATTTCACTATTGTCGATGCAATTCGTCGTTTTTCTTCAATAATGTTTGTAAACGCTCAAGTTATTTCACATAATTTATTCGATTCGAAAACAAAGGATATTATAGATACATTTATAAACTCAACTCGAGCAGAATTCACCAATAGTTTATCATTGATTAATGAAGTAGTTCATGCTAATCAATATATAAGCGGTATGTTGACAAATGGTGCTCCTGATATAGTAAATGTTTCTAGTTATGCAACATCGATAGAGAATCCTTACAGCATTGTTTGGTTCAATCAAATCGGTCTAACAACAAATAATCAAACATGCTCTTGTGGTAATGATCCTGAATGCGACATTGGACTCCTTAGAAGCAATATTTTACATACGGTTCCGGGAATATATATTCGTTGTTACATGTTGGACTCGGTATTTCAATCATCACTGTTGTGCTGGTATAATAAAAGTTGCTTTATCAAGTTTTCCACCAGTCGTCTCTTCATGGATACCCAGTATCCTCAAAATCTGACTGTGCTTGATTCTACGTTGCCGAGTCGATTTACGCCAAGTACTCTTGTACAAACGATTTCCAATGAAGTAATGGTCGAACAATGGAAATCGTTAGCTTCATATGATAGCTTTTATCAGAACTGCAAGCCTATATATTGTTTGTTTACATACCAAGAAAGAAGTAGTATAACGTATCTGATCACTACAGTGATGGGTCTCTTGGGTGGTCTCAACATTGCTCTTCGATTACTATGTCCTTTTATTATAAAACTTTTTGTCAGACGTATCCATACTGTTACATCAGGTAATGCATCACTGATATGCCATGAACACAAGGTCGCTGATCATAAGTGAATACTTTGCTATGGATGAATTATATCTAAGAATGACGAAGAAAGGGTTAGAAATTTTTGCCTAGTTTTATTACATCATCGCTTGAGACTCCTATTTCATTATCGTTATAGCAAAGAGCAAGTACGAAAAAACGTGAGATTTTTTTTAATATTATTTTGATTATATTATGACAATAAACTTGAAAGAGCAATGCTTGCAATATTATGTTCTAAGCTAATTTCAGTTGATCGTGGTAAATAATAAAGACAACGTCAGGAGTTTCTGTTTTATATCGTTCAGTGATGAAATCCCTGAAGAATCAATGCAAAATATCTCATATATCAATTTTTCTTTCCGTAATGCGCCTGTTTTTTTTCTGTTAACTAGTTCAATATTATAGCGTAAACAACTCTGTTTATTAGATGAACATCAAAAGGATCTTTTTGAGAATATGAAAGAAACATGATTAATATTTTTCATTGTGTATACCGAAAGTAAAATGTTGACATTGATTAAGTAAAGTATCGAAATAAGTTGTTTCATTTCAAAAGACGTCTAACAAAATTTATTCCCGATGTATAAATAATAATTTTTGATGGAGAAAATCAGTAGTCTAAATGGGAAGGAGCAAAGTTAATTTACAGCAGATCACACTGATACTTGACATACAAAATAATCCGTCCAGTTCAATCAACTCAAGCAGATTCACTCAGATACTTCGATCTGTTTTATCCTTGCTAGAAAAATGATTGACTACTTAAAGAAATTCAATCAAATCTTTATTTTCTAATATAAGAATATCGAATGAAAATTTGTAACAAAACTACAGTACTTTTGCATTTTGTTCAAGGCGATAGTGTATTTGCTACAGGACACTATAAGCTATCTAATAATATCATTATATTAACTAATGATCGAATTGATTTTATAGGAAGAATTACTAAAATGTATGACGTAATTTTGATTCGCTTCTTTCGTCAGTAAGTTGAGCTAAGTATTTTACTTTTTAAAGGAAAACCTTGTTTTGAGCAAAAACATAAAGAATGTAAATAGTTTTCACTAGTTTCAACATGTTAATTTCATTTCTTCATGAATTTTTTAACGCTTAAAGACAATTTTTAAGTTCACAAGCGATACTCAGTAGATAAATACTACTCGAAACTATACAGTGCTCACAAGCAAAATTTTGAGTGAGAAAAGGCAACAGTAATAGAAAATATATGGTCAGAATCAGACAAAACTGGACATAGTCTTTTCATTTGACTGTCCTTCTCACCAGAGACTTTTTCTCTTGAATAAGTCATTTTAGTACAGGCTTATATAACTTACAAATGTTTCCCGTTTAATATGACTATTAATTAACAAGTTATTAGTGAATATCTCCCTAATCGTATGAGAAAAAAAGTCTGAAAACGTCAGAATAGATTAAGATTTGAGTTGCATCTATGGTAAAATTCTCGGTGAGATCGAATTCAAAGAAGTTTCTTCTAAAACTTGATCCTCTCCAGTATAGAAACAGAAACTGTTGTCTTATCATAATCTACGGACTGTAAAGCTCTGCAGTACTTATTTTTATTAGAGTATCTAAACTAACTTAGCATTCATGTAGTATATAAAAATTAGGTTTGGAAAAGCTCACTATTCCGAGACATAGATACTTTCATTTTACGAAGTCACATTCATAACGAATGATTTTACACATATATTCAAAGATGATTGTCTAGAAAGAAAGGATTTTCGGAAAGAGATAGAAGCTCAAAATTCCAATTCCAATGTTCACTCATAATTTTGGAAATGAGTTTGACAATATAACACAACTAAATAATTGTTCAAATGAATCATTTTAGAAAATCGTCAAGTTTGTTGCACTGTACATGGTCTGTGGACACGAATTCGAGACCAACTTATCTCATTAAATTTATTTAATAAAGGATCGACTGAAAATCAAACAATTCGATATGAACGCTTTTCAACTCGACTCTATTTACTTCTCCTGTTTACCAGTATACTCACTCTAATTATCTATACGATTTTATCAAAAGAAATGATACAGCCAATAATCTTATTACCTACACAAGCTCGTTACGAAGAATTATTGTCTTCCCATTCTAATACACTTCAATGTCCTTGTACTCACATTTCTGTTGCATACAAAGATTTCATCACTATTAATACTACTCTTCATCAAGTATGTTCAAGCGATTTCGTCGATAAGAAATGGATATATTTTCTATACGGTAATGGTTTTTCTGGTTATCAAGAAAGATCCGATCTTCGTATTCGTGGAGCTGCATATTTTGGTTTTCTAGCAAAACTATGCAAACTATCAGACACAACTATTAAATATACAATTAATCAGTTTTTAGAAACATCATTTATAAGTAGTCAAATAATGCCTCAATCACAATTTAATATTCAGATGAATGCAACTACTAGTCAATTTGAAAGTAATACACTAGTTCAGTTTTCTCATGTCTTGCAACTTACACGTGATGTAATAGACAAGAGCACTTTTGTATCTACTCATTTGTTAAATTGGCATTGGCCTATAAATAGCATCGATTTGTATCATACGATTCCGGCAGAAGCTATCATGCTAAATAATGAATGTTCTTGTGGAGTAAGAAGTGATTGTTCAGAATATGGTGGTATCTATAAATCATTTTCTAATATTGAAAATTTTACAATGCCTGGAATCAATGTAAGTTGTTCGGTAGTCGAAACATTAATGCAGTCAACATTCGAATGCTTATACAATCAAACATGTATTGATGAATTCCAACATTATGCTACAACAGTACCTATTGTTATTTCCAATGCAACCAATGTAACAGCTATGAAATCTATGTTTTCAAGTCGTTTTCCACCGCATATAGCAATTCGCGATATTGTTGGCGCACTTTTTATCGAAAAATGGCAAATCAACTTTTCCTATTCTGCTTTGTACCAACATTGTACTCCGGCATATTGCTCTTACACATTGGTGAAGTACCACAGCGTTCTATATTTCATTTCGAGAATTTTAGGTTTGTATGGCGGCTTAACTGTTACTCTGAAATTCATTGTTCCGTACCTAATCCGCATGTATTTCACGATAAAAAATCGTTGCCGTAAAAATGCTGTTGTCTCTAGTGCTTAGCTTTATCCAATTGCACATGCTGTATTTATTTATTCATTCTTCAACGTATATCACTAATAAAGAAAAATGTTTGCTAATTTTAATTATTATAAAAATTCTTTAAAGGGTGTGAGTGTGGGTGAGGTGTGGGTGGGGTGTAGGTGTGAGTGGGGTGTGGGCGTGGGTGTGAGAGTAAATGAAAGGCTTTTGTCCCACACCCACACGGCGCAACCTACACCCAAACCCATCCACACCACACATCCACCCACAACCACACCTAGCAACACTCACACTTAGATCCCGCACCCCAGTAAAATGTTGACTGCGAAACCATTTTTGAAACGAGTTACAACCGGTTTTGTGCGACACAATATTATTATGAAACTTGGATAAAGGTTTCGATTTCGTTTCTAAATTTGGAACTTTTTTTCAAGTTCCGTATGGAACCATTTTTTTAGTGCGCATCCACATGCAACCACACTCCACACCACACACCCATATCCATTTCCACAGCCTTGTCTGAATCGGTAAGAAAATAAATCATCAAAACAGAAAATCTTGATGTGCTCTTTTGACCTTAGTGGCACACTGTCTTCATTGATCATAAGTAGTGCGTGTTAAAAATGTTGGCAAACTGATTGCAGTGAGCAAAAATGAAAAAAAAATGGGGCTGCATAGATATTGTTTGACGACATTTAGTTCGTACGCCCACTGTCTCGAATCTTAGAAAATATTTTCTATTCGACGAGTATGATTTCTTGCAAAAAATCTCGGTATTTTCGAGACTAACGACAGGAGCAACTTCAACATGCACATACAAGAGAAATTATAATCATTGATTACCCATTGTCTCGTTTATTCCATTTTCCATTGTTTTTGTATAGAGATTAAGCATATCTTTTTATCTTCGTAAAACAAATTCTGAACTTTACTAAGTTTCTTTTGTATGATCGTTCACATTCTCTCTTCACAGATGCAATTTATAATGCGATTTTTGTTATCTTTTACTCACTACATGCTGAAGAAATTCGATTTGAGATACTTGCCTTGTTTTTTTCTTTACGGAGATGTAACATGATTGACAATTCGATCTAGATACATTCTTATTTTCGAGTATAGATCCCTTCATCATTTCTCAATGGAATAAAAAGAACATCCTATTCAGTCGAATGTCTTCTGTTACTCTCACCTTGTCGTATATGATCCTTTTTTGTTCGGATTAATGGAGCCTGTGCGGGACAACGAGCATCAGTGGATAAAGATGCAATTGAGTTATCTCGATTAATGAAATTATTCTGGTCGCTTAAATCTGCAATTTTGAATGAGAAGAGTCCGTTCATTGTATGTCAATTTATCGATCGATGCTGTGCACCTGAAAATCAGTCACGAGCTGCTACTCTGATGTAGTCAATTCCACAGAGAGACTTAATGAAAAAAACATCTTCTGAACTTCAAAATATAAGTACGAATTTCAGTCGTTTTCATCCAGATGACAAAGCATGTTTGTTACCAGATGAGTTATTCGAGCCATCATGGACAGATGAAGAAAGTTCACAAATTAAACAATTCCTGACTCCGTTAGTTTACGATGATTCTCAAACGAATAAATTATTTTCTCGTTTGAAAAAGTTTTACGATTACGATAATTTGTATGCTATGATCTGCTCTTCGAAGAAGCCAGTCAACATGTGCGTCGGTAAACTTCTTAAGAAGATTTACCAAGAGGCTTGCTTAGAAAGTATCGACGTATCGTCGCGAGAGCTATCCAGTCAGACAAAAGTCTTAAAAAACACGTTATAACACGTTAAAACGGCGTACTAAGGATTTCTTGAACGCATTTTAATGCGTTACAACATTTAAGCGTTAAAATATATAGATTTTTTAAAGATTTGCGCGTTTTTGTCCGTTAATAACTCCAATTTCACGCGTTTTTACACGTACGTGTGGGGTGTGGGTGTGGGTGTGGATGTAGGGTGTGCGTGTGGTCTTCCAATCATCATGGTCACCCATCTGCACACCCCACACGCATACCCACACCCACCCACATCGACACCCATATCGACACCCACACCCACATCCACATCCACATCGACACCCCACACCCGCACACCCGAACTCGTATTATTAGCATTATTTTTAATCAACTTTATTTCGTTTAACAATATAAATATTATAAATCTGTTGAAAAACAGATCGACCTGTCTCTTGACAAAGAAAACAAGTCAATCTGCTAGTCTCAACTTTTGCTTTTCAGCAATCGATTTTTAGCCGAATTTCAATTGAAAACTAAGTAATATGTGTGCTTGAATTTAAATTATTTTAAAAGAATAATGCATAGTTTAATTTCGCCGGCACGTTTCGTGTTGATTTGATTGAAATATTGAAACACTCTTCAGTGCTCTGCATTACAAATAAGGCACAAAAAAGGATTAAGCTGATTATATAGGTGGCGTATATACTACGCTCGCTAATTGTTGTGCTTTAATAGTAATGCAGTGTCCTGAAGAGTATTTCATGATTAATAAATGTAATTTAAATGGGATTTTTTCTTCAATAATGAATAGATTATGTTATATGAAACTTTAAAATATTATTTATATGTAAGCATAAATTCGTTTNTAGATAAAAGGAAATCTCGTTGGCAAACATTTCAGAGACAATTCAAGAACAAGAAGGAAATCTTCATTCCATCAATGATTGTTATTATTAGTGCTTTACCTCACTTCATTATTTCTTTTTTAGTTGCCTGTAGTGATCTTGATACAAAATGGCAACGCTATATGCTCATCATATCGTATTTCTCTGCTTACGTACCACAAAGCTTAAGCTTTCATCGTTATGTTCAACCATCGAAATTCTTTTTGCGAGAATTCCATGCGACAAAGGTGTGAAAGATACTGAAACGACAATGAAACACAATAAATTGACAATAATCTACTTTCTATTCATAAACTTTATAATTAGCCTCTATATCTAGCTTGTGTTCGTTGGATGTCTGCTCTTTGTTCACAAAAATAAAAACATATTTATCATGCTATTTCATTCAATAGATGTGTTACTTGAAAAAGCTTGTGAGTCGTTGCACATAAACCAAATACATATGTGATAGAGGCAGCTGTTTAGCTATGTTTGTTGCAAATCGCTGATTTTTTTATTGCGCTTTTACGAAAAGCCCTAAAATTCATGAATATGAATAACTCGTTTTTCTCATAGATATATCTCTAGAATAGCTCAATTTTTTTATTGAATCTTCAGCTCATTCAACCATTGCGAAAGGATCATCGCTTCCCCAATTGTTACCATTTGTAAGGGTGTGGGTGTGAGTATGGGTGTGAATGTAAGGTGGGTGTATGCGTGGATATGGTATGGATATAGTCTCTTCTTATTTTAACCCACACTCACACCCACACCCTGAAATACATACACAAATTCTTTCTTGCCTTTTATTTTTTTCTTTACTCAGTCTATTCTCGTCATTCCTGTTCTATCGTTCTCCGTTCTTTTACTCAGTTCTTTTATATCTCACCTCTCATGTTTTCTTTTTAATTCTCTTTTTCTTTCGTTTTCATTTGTCAAGTAGTGCGGACGCTTCATTTTAAGCATGGGGGTGTCCTAGGTGGCAGTAAAGATTCCCATGATTTGTCGAATCACTGTGCTATCTCTTATTTACACGTGTAAACGCATACACATAGCCTCATCCGTCATCCCATTCTTTCTTTATCTCTCTCCAAACATTCTCTTTGTTGTTCTATATTTACGATTCAGTTGTGATTCTATTTCGTTGAGAGTAAACAAGTTCCGCAGTTTACATCGCGCTATATCACAATACATAAAAATATTAGAATATCACTGAGTCTGTACAAGAGACAAATTCGGAAAAGGAACTTGTCCTGCATTGAAGAATGCACTTCTTGCACGAAATTTAGAAAAAAAATCACGTTTGTAAAACTAGTATGCCAAAGAATGTTGATCATACATATCATTTCTGTTGCGCCATTGAGTGTGAAGACGAGTATCAAACGTGAATTTGTAGAGGAAAAGTTCTCTACGTGTATAAAATGAGCCTAGAACCTAAGTCTTTAAAGTAGAGATTACTTCTATCCCTCATAAAATGAATAAATCTTCCATTCTTTCTCGTACCGAATGAAAGTCTAGATGCAACTGTACATCTAATAAGAAATTTGCAAGTCTGAAAGGGCCATTTGAAGCTTTTGTCCTTGAGAAACATCTTCGTTCGTTACGTAGAATGATGAATTGCTGCCCTCAATAATGAAGACATACCTATTTGAAGTTGATTTACACAAGACTTGACTTCATAAGTATACAACAGTACATTTAATGACTAAATTCTCGATTTGTGCTTCTTTGTTCAATAATAATCTCTAGTTGATTCATTTTTCCTCAAGAATTTGAGTTTCTTGTTTAAAAGTGATACCATGACGCAGTATATGCAAGTAAGCCTCTGGTTGAATGTATAAGATAAAAAATTTGATTAGAATTCTGATTTCAGTTTCAATACTCGCATGATTTTATCATTATTTATATGATATTACATGCATACTGGTATAATTTACGCAGGAAGATTTAATAGAATTTTAAATAACTCATTAGTCAAATGAGAAGTTGATAGAAGAGAGTATAGCTCTGAGGATAAGAATAAAGTTATTAACATAGTAATAGATGAGCTCTACATTTCCAAGTTTAAGGTTACTTCAGATACACCTAGCCAAAAATGTCAATCTTACCTCCATCATGATGGTGGAATACAGATAAGTCAGTAAGGGCTATGATAATTCAAAATACAGGGTGGTGGTCCAAAAGTTCTTTTACCACAGAAAAAATGGAATATTTTCGCCATGTTTTGATCAAATGAACTGATTTTTTCACCACTGACAAAGAATTTTTCACAGCTCATATTAGTAGAAAAAAAGTTGCCGAAAAAAATGTTCAGGTGTCAGTATTGATCTCAATAAAGAATTGCACGAGTTCTGTGAAAAACGATTTATTCCACTAGCCAAAAT